GGGGGGGGGGGCACCGCGGCCCCCCCGCGCTCCGAAGTGTCAGGAATGCGGGCAGGGAGACAAACGGCTCCCGGGCCCAGCTGCAAGCAGTTTAGGGCTGGTTATAAATGGCCTGTTTGAAGCGTGGCGAGGGCAGGAATTTCCTCAATTTCAGCAATTTCGGCTCTTTTTTTTTCTTTTTTTCCCTTGTTTCTCTTTTTTTTTTCTGTTAAAAAAAGAAAAACGACCTGAAAATAAAAAGGGGAAAAAAACCCAACCTGCCCCTGGGCTCGCCTCCCCCCTGCCCCTTATTTCCTAGGGGGGTTTCCTTGGTGATTTTGGGGGGTGCCCCCCCGGGTGATGCCCATGTCCCTGTGTCCCCCCCTGCCCCGTTGTCACCCTGGGGGGAAGCACCCCGTGGGGGGGGGGACACGGGGACATTGGGATGTGTCCTGGTGCTGCCCAACCTGGGGGTACCTGGGAGCGGGTGTTGGGGACACTGCGGGGTCACCCGCTGCCCTCTGTGCCCCCCCCTCCATCCCCATCCCTCCATCCCCATCCCTCCATCCCCATCCCTCCATCCCCATCCCTCTGTCCTGTCCTGGGCCCTCTGTCCCCCCTTGCCCCATCCCTCCATGCCCATCCTTGTCCCTCCCTCCCAATCCCTCCCTCCTCATCCCAGTCCCATCTCTCCATCCCCATCCCTCTGTCCCAGTCTCATCCCTCCGTCCCCATCTCTGTCCTTCCATCCCAGTCCCCCCATCCTTCTCCCTCCGTCCCTATCCCTGTCCACCCAACCTGATTCACCCATCCCAGCCCTTCCATCCCCATCCTTCCATCCCAGCCCTTCCGTCCCCATCCCTCCATCCCCATCCCTGTCCCTCCATCCCAGCCCCATCCCTTTGCCCCCATCCCCGTCTCTCCCAGCCCCCCAGGACGCCTGGGCCCTCCGGCGCCCGTTCCCCTCCCGCGCGCGGAGCCCGCGGGCCCCGCTCCGTCCCTCACGTGCCCCCCGTTCCGTGCGTGCGCAGCGGCCGAGACGCAGAGCAGCGGCTCGGAGGAGATGGTGCCCAGCTCGCCGTCGCCGCCGCCGCCGCCGCGCGTCTACAAGCCCTGCTTCGTGTGCAGCGACAAGTCCTCGGGCTACCACTACGGCGTCAGCTCCTGCGAGGGCTGCAAGGTGCCCGCGGGGGCGGCGGGACGGCGCCCGCGCCGCGTGTCCCCCCCTATCCCGGCCGCTCACCCCGTCCCCCCGGCAGGGCTTCTTCCGCCGCAGCATCCAGAAGAACATGGTGTACACGTGTCACCGGGACAAGAACTGCCAGATCAACAAGGTGACGCGCAACCGCTGCCAGTTCTGCCGCCTGCAGAAGTGCTTCGAGGTCGGCATGTCCAAGGAAGGTGCGCCCGGACGCCGGGGCCCACTTGGGGTCGGGGGCGGGGGGTTGTGACACCCCCCCGGGAGGGGGTGCCGGCAGCCCCTACAGCCGCCCCGGGCTGTACGTGGGTATCCTGCTGCTTGTGGAGATCCTGCCGCCGGCGGATCCTGTCCCGCCTATGGAATGGGGGCGGGAAAAGGCGGGTGGGGACCCCCCCAGCAGCACTGACCCCCCCGCCGCCGTGCCCCTGCTCGCAGCCGTGCGCAACGACAGGAACAAGAAGAAGAAGGAGGTGAAGGAGGAGGCGGCCGAGGGCCCGGAGCTGACGCCGGAGCTGCACGAGCTCATCCAGAAGGTCAGCAGAGCCCATCGGGAGACGTTCCCGGCGCTCTGCCAGCTGGGCAAGTACACCACGGTGAGAGACCCCCTGCGCCACCGCTGCCACGAGCTGCGCCGGCCTCAGCCCGCGCGGACCGGCGCGAGTGGGAGCCTGTGCGGCGGGACGGGGGGCTCTGGAGCGGGACGGGGGGGCTGTGGAACAGGATGCGGGGCTGTGGAGCGAGATACGGGGCTGTGGAGCAGGATATGGGGGGCTGTGGAGCGGGATGCGGGGTTGCGGAGCGGGATATGAGTCTGTGGAGTGGGATATGGGGCTGTGGAGTGGGACGGGGGGCTCTGGAGCGGGATATGGGGCTCTGGAGTGGGACGGGGGGCTCAAAGAGGCCCGTTGGTGGTCACCGGAGGCAGGATGGAGCTGAGTGCGGAGCCGAGTTTGCCACCCGGGTGCCTGGGTGTCCGTCCCAGCCTGGGTGGGATGGGGAGGGAGATGGGGACTGGAACGCCTGGATCCCTGTCCCAGCCTGGTGCCAACGGGGCGATTTCGGAGACCGGGCCGCATGGATCCCAGCCCCTTTGGGAGGGAGGAGACTCCTGGGGCCAGGACGCCCGGCTCACGGAGCCGCCGGTCCCGGCGCGCCGCGGTGCCGCCTGTTCCTCAGCCCTGTCCCCCCGCTCCGTCACCCGTCCCCGCAGAGCCTGAGCGCCGACCACCGCGTGCAGCTGGACCTGGGGCTGTGGGACAAGTTCAGCGAACTGGCCACCAAGTGCATCATCAAGATCGTGGAGTTCGCCAAGCGCCTGCCCGGCTTCACCGCGCTCTCCATCGCCGACCAGATCACCCTGCTCAAGGCGGCCTGCCTCGACATCCTGGTGAGGGGGACGGCGCGCGTGGCGGGACGGGTGGCGCGGGTGATGGGACAGGCGGTGAGGGTGACGGGACGGGTGTTCAGGGTGACGGGGTGGCTGATCAGGGTGACAGGACAGGTGGCGAGGATGACAGGGTGATGGGATGGGGGTTGAGGGTGACAGGATTGGTGTTCAGGGTGACAGGACGGATGGTGAGGCTGATGGGATTGGTGGTGAGGATGACAGAGTTGGTGTTGAGGGTGATGGGATGGGTGTTGAGGGTGACAGGGTAGCTGGTGAGGGTGACACTCTAGAGAGGGTGACGGGCTGGGTGTTCAGGGTGACGGAGCGGGTGGTGAGGGTGACGGGAGGGGTGTTGGGGGTGACGGGAGGGGTGTTGGGGGTGACGGGAGGGGTGTTGGGGGTGACGGGAGGGGTGTTGGGGGGGACGGGACGGGTGTTGGGGGTGACGGGCTGGGTGTTGAGGGTGCCGCGGGACGCGGCGCTGTCCCCGCAGATGCTGCGCATCTGCACGCGCTACACGCCCGAGCAGGACACCATGACGTTCTCGGACGGGCTCACGCTGAACCGCACGCAGATGCACAACGCCGGCTTCGGGCCGCTCACCGACCTCGTGTTCGCCTTCGCCGGGCAGCTGCTGCCCCTCGAGATGGACGACACGGAGACGGGGCTGCTCAGTGCCATCTGCCTCATCTGCGGAGGTGCCGGGGCAGCGGGGGGACAGCGGGGGACAGCGGGGGGACAGCGGGGACAGACAGTGCGGGTCTGGGGGCGGGCAACAGACGTGGAGCTCGGGGAGCCGCCGGGGCGGATGGGGACGGAGCAAAGACGGGCGCCCCGCGGCGCAGCCGCCTGGGCTGGGGGACACACGGGGGGTCCCCAACATCCATGACCGCCCCCCCACAGACCGCATGGACCTGGAGGAGCCCGAGAAGGTGGAGAGGCTGCAGGAGCCGCTGCTGGAGGCGCTCAAGGTGTACGCGCGGCGCCGGCGCCCGCGCCAGCCCCACATGTTCCCCCGCATGCTCATGAAGATCACCGACCTGCGCAGCATCAGCACCAAGGGTGAGGGGCGCCGCGGGGACCCCCGCGCGGGGCACCCCCCTGGGGCCGCGGGGGGCCGGCACGGTGAGGGTGACGGCGCTGTCGGGGTGACGGCGCTGTCGCGGTGAAGCCGGTGGCGCCGGCGCGGTGACGCTCGCGGTGACCGCGGGTGACACGCGTGTCCCCCCCGCCGCGGCGCAGGGGCCGAGCGCGCCATCACGCTCAAGATGGAGATCCCGGGCCCCATGCCCCCCCTCATCCGGGAGATGCTGGAGAACCCCGAGATGTTCGAGGAGGAGGAGGAGGAGGCGGCGCCGGCCCCCCCGGACCCCCCCAGCGCCGAGGGCAGCCCGGCCCCCGCCCGCCCCGACTCGCCGTAGCCCCCTGATGGGGCAATGGCCGCTGTCCCCCCCCCCGGCCCCCGCTGTGGGGGGGGGGGGGGACACCCACGACTGCCTTCCGGCCCCCCCTGCACTGGCGGGGGGGCTCTTCCCCCATCTGGGGGGGGCTCCAGAGACTGATGGAGCCCCAGGCCCGGGGGGGACCCTGCGGCACCAGCTATTGCCTTAAGCTGGGGGGGCCACGGGGGCCCCCCCACCCCAACCTCAGCTTCATGCCAAAGTCCCAAGCCCCCCACCCCAAAATGCCATCAACCCCCCCCCCAATCCCAATCCTGGTGCCAGGGGGTGGGGGTAACAATGGACTGACAGTGCCCCCCCCCCCGTTCCTCCCCCCTCCAAGGCCGAGCCGGCGGGGGGCCCAGGCGTCCGGGGCTTTATTTATTCACGTGACAAAAGGAGACAGGGTGTGTTTGGGGGGGGGTATTTTGTGTGCCCCCCCCCGGCCCCCAGCCATATTGGGGGGGGAGCTTTTCCTTGCTGATTTCTTTGTACATTTGGGGGTGGGGGGGTTGCTTCTGGGTTTTGCTTTATAATGCTGGTGGCTCTTGGGGGGGGGGGGCCCAAACTCCCCCCCGGTCCCTGTCCCTTGGGCACAGAACACTATAGAGACCAAAGGGGGGGGGCACAAGGTGATGCCCCCCCCAACCCCCCCACCCCGGGCTGCTGCTGGGTGGGGGAGGGGCCCAAGCCATGGGGGGGGCCCTGCTCCCCCCCGCCCCATCCCCTGCGGCAGCTTTATGGGGGGGCACCTCCTTGCACCCCAACTGCCCCCGGGACCAAACTGCCCCCCCCGCATGTCTGTTACCCCCAGCCTGCTTAGGGGGGCGGCTGCCCCCCCGCAGCACTAGAGGCCCCCCCCATTTCCACCCCCCTTTTGGGGGTGCAGGGCCTTAGGGGGGAGGGGTCCCATTACACTACATGCCGTGGGGGGGGCTGCACATCCCCCCCCCCCCCCAATTATTTATTCCTTTGCGTTTACACCGGGGCCCCTTCCCCCCCCGCTGTCCCTGCCGCCCCCTCGCTGCCCGGGGGGGGTCCATGTTTACAGCCCCCCGCCCCGGGGTCCCCGCCCCCCGCCCCGGGGGGGGGACACGGGACTTTTCTATTTTTGCAAAATAAAGAGACGGAAACTCAGCGGCTGCTGTGGTCTGTGCGGGGGGGGGGCACGTGGAGCCCCCCCCGGGCGTCCTTGGGGACAAGGGGCGTCCTTGGGGACAGCCTCCCTGTGGGGCGTCAGGGGCCCCTCTGGGGACACGGGATGTTCTTGGGAACAACCCCCCCCAGGAGAACAGGGCAACCCCCTGGGTGACAGGGAGGGACAAGGTGGGGACAGGAGATCCCCCCGAGGACATCGTGGGGCGCTGGGACACCCCGGGGGACAACTCCAGGGATGGGGGGGAGGGCAACTCCCGGGACAACAGGGGACGTGGGGACCCCCCTGGGGACGTGGGGACCCCCTGGGGACGTGGGGACCCCCCTGGGCACATGGGGACCCCCCTGGGGACGTGGGGACCCCCTGGGGACGTGGGGACCCCCCTGGGCACATGGGGACCCCCCTGGGGACGTGGAGACCCCCCCCGCGACCTCCGCCCCAGACATGGGGACACCGGGGGCAATAGGGGGTGCACTCGGTCCGGTGACGCCCCCCCGGGATAGCGGGGGACACCCCGCTGCTGTCCCTGCCGCCCCCTAATAGCGCCGCCCGCCCCCCCCCCCCCCCCGATGGGACCCCCCCCCCCCCCCCACCCGCCTTGCCGGGGGGCTGCCCACCCCCATATCCTGTGGGTAAAATGGGATCCCCCGATACACCCCCCGGCTCCCCGATGCTGCCTGCAGCCCCTATACACCCTATGCACCCCTATACATCCCTGTACACCCCAATACACCCTATGCACCCCTATACATCCCTGTACAACCTATGCACCCCTATACACCCCTATACACTCCCATACATCTCTATACACCTCTATACACCCTATATACCCCTATACACCCCCATACACCCCTATACATCCCTGTACATCGCTATACACCCTACGCACCCCTATACACCTCTATACACCCTATACACCTCTACACACTCTACACACCCCTATACATCCCTACGCACCCCTATACATCCCTATGCAACCCTATACAGCCCTATGCATCCCACGCACCCCTATACATCCCTATGCACCCCTATACA